CCGAAACACATGGCCGGCAGAGGGGCAAAAGGGTTCCGTTGACTAGATTCGAACCAGCGACTGTTTGCGTACCGGCCCATCACATCAGGTGTCGCACGGCTGTAAAGTGATGGCCAGCGGAGCGCGAAAAATTTCCCCGGGACGGAAGTCGAACCAGCGACCAGGTTCATCCCGGGCCCGGACGCTACCGACTTGCCCACGAAAGAACGATAGTGAGTACCTCTTTTGGGGGCATCCATATCTCAGCTGTATCTGACGCCCGAAGACACTTGGCCAGCAGAGCAGGAAAAATGATCGCGGACGGAATTCGAACTACCGACCATCCCCACAATCTGCCAACGATCACGCTCTAACACGCTAGGCTACCAGCTTGCCCCTCCGGGGTCGAGATCTGAGCTTTGACTATGTAAAGAACGAGTACCGTTTTAGCGCAACATTAATTTTGTGTTTCCTTCTCCATTGTTCCCGAGATTGTTCCTATTTTGATAAATAAATTCTTCTTAGTTTTTATGATTTTTTCTCAATTTTTTGGAAAAGTGTACACTGATTTTTGTTTGTGGAGTGCAGAACGCAGCACCGTATCAAGCCTCACCGATCGCTCCCAGACGGTACTGCACCGTGACCAGCACCACGTCCTCGCGCAGCAGGAAGTCGGGCCCGTAGATGTGGCTGTTGGCCGTGCCGCTGTAGAAGGCGCCGCCGTGGATGAATACCAGCACGGGGCTGAGCTTGTCCTTGCAGCCGGGAGAACCGGGATCCTGAGCAGGAGAGAACTCCGGATTTAAGTTGCACATTATGGAAGGAAACAACACAACATGAGTGCGAAAGAGAAAGAAGATTTTAATGATGTGAATGCCCCTTGGAAATCAGTCCTTTAGAGGAGTAGTGTTCGATATATAAACTTTAAAAGATATTCCTAAAAACCTGTTTTTGCAATATTTTACATTTTAGACAGTCCGCAAGACTGTCTCTACCAGAGGGCAAAGTCTCCCCTCCCCCCTGCTCACTCTCTATACATAGCACAGAGCGGGACCTTGTTCCGCTGAAAATGTCGGCTATTCCATCAGCGGTTCCGAAACATCACAACAAAAAACCTCTTTCGTCGATACCGAAAAAAGGAAACGCAACTTCCGAAAAGAGTATTTTGGGAACCTCTTAATGACACGGGGACCGGACGGTCCGCGCCGGGCCACGAGCCGGAGCCGAAAGCAGAGATGTTCGGGCCGGTGCGACCACGCGTCTATCGAGCGGCCGCGACCGGTGAGAGGGGAGGGGGGGCGGCCGCGGGCCGCGGCACGCTTTGAAACTGGCGCCAGTCGCGGGAGAGAGGTGGGGGTGAAAGGCGCGTCACAGAGTGAGCGGCGTCCGGCCGGGCCGCGGGCCACCTCCTCGCGGGAGCTGCGCGCCGGCCCGCGGGTGGGGGCAGCGAATAACCCGCCGGTCTCCCTGTAGCCGCGCTACTAGACCCACCTCGCTATCGCATCCGAAGTGCGGCGCCGCCGGCTCGGGGCTCATCCTCTTGGTGTACACGTTGAGGTAGAGGCAGTCCTCCTGCTGCGCCCAGAAGCGGAGGATCTGTGCGCCGAGGCGCGGCAGCGAGGACACGATGTTCCAGGCCCTGCGCCAGGTCGTCGGCAGCCGCATCTGCAGAGAGGGCAGAGAGGAGTGGACGGTCAAGGAATGTTGGGACGAGGACGACAACGGCGATGCGGTGCGACTGGAACGAGCCTGACCTTGTGGACCTCGGGCGGCATCCAGTAGATCTCCGTGTGCGGCTGCACGCACATGTGGCCCTCCTCGGTGGCCGGGCGCACGCCCTCCCAGGGGACGGGCGGCTGCGGCGCCCTGAAGCGCAGGTCGCCGACGGGCGGCCGGGCGTAGGGCACGCCCTGGAAGCTGAAGTAGGGGATGCCGTCGTGGTACGTGCTGCGGAGGGCGCCCTGCAGCACGCCCTGCTGCACCTGCACGTCGACGGTGGGCGACGAGCCGGGGATGCAGACGCGCGCCAGCGCCGCAGCCATCAGGGCCGTGATGGCGAGGCGCCACCAGGAGGCACCTGTCGACGCATCAGGGGTTTTAGATTCATCTCCATAGTACATGTTTGCTGAAATTGATTATCAATCGGGTGATGCCTTGAAAATCCTCGACAAAACCTCATGATCGTCAGATACGGACGGAGAGGACTATGGGACTGTGGGGCAGCGTGGGGTCAGTGGGATGGGATGGACGTGTGTGCACAAGGTCAGGTAGGCAGAGAGAGACGTGAGACATCGCCGTCGTCCAAAGCAAAAGAAGAAAAACGTCTTGGGAACCTAGTTAAAACGTGTCCGGTAGGAACACAAAGGTGCTTCGTGGACTTAAGAGAGCCCCGGTAATCAGGACCACTTGTGCCCAGATCTACCACGAAGATAAGATTATTATTTTGTGTTGCCTGACGTTGACGTCACGCCGCGTCACGCACATACACCGGTTATTGTTTTTGTTTCAAAAAATGAATGGAAGGTCGAATAAGCGGAGACACCACAAATAAGAGCAAACTGGTCAGGCGCGCACGTTCAAACAACGTTGGAAACAATTTATTCCTGTGTCGCACCTACGCACTCGGGCGGAAGGCGTTGACCCCTGGCCCCACGTAGGGAGGGCTGACTCGACCCCAACGCCACGCAGACGCAAGCTGCTCAGCACACTCACGGCCCGGGTAGGTGAGTGGTGAGTAACATACAAGCCATTCGGCCAAAACCGGTCAAGATATGGGGAGCATTTTTTTTTTTGCCACCAGAACCTTTGCTCGCCTCTCGACCGCAGTCCGGGACGAACCTGGCCCTGATCCTGGTTTAATCTGCTGACGCTCACGCACTTCCGCGTGCGTTCGGCGGCATGCGCTGGCTCGGGTCAGCCTTGAACTTGGAGATAAGAAGTCTACTTACTGGGCTATCGCTCTAAACGAGACCATAAATCGCGTAGTGGACTGGTGACTATAATTTTGGTCTCAGATTCTTTTTTCCCAGAACACATGCATAAATTATGTAGGAAGTGGCTCCGCCATTTTTGGTGTATTAGTCCCCGGTGATTTCTAAAGGTTAATGTGGGTGACAAATTTTATACTCAAAACGTCCTGTTACAAAAGAGTAAATATGTCACAAAATATGTGACACGATTGTCACGCACTCTCTTGTGTGCAAACGTTACCCCGCGATTTAAAATGTCGTGATTTCATACGTTTTTATTTGTACGGCACAACGATGGGACATGTTTTTCCCAGCATCATCCGGGGTCTCAGCTCTGAGGCAGTTATTATCATGATAACAACTGCATCCACAAGGTTACACCATTTTTAACATCGCGGTCTCTCAGAGAATGCATGCGAAAGATACGCTGTATCATGAAGATGGAATTAATTCGCTTTAATGGAAAAAACAAAGGTGATAAGTCGTGCCTTTCCATGGGTGCTAAAGAAAATTTTAGTTTATACCCATATAAAGGTACTAAAGGGCAAAGAACCCTCTAAAGGTGCTAAAAAGTAGTGCCTTTGGCAGTTTATAAGTGACTTATTTGTTAAGGCACTAAATCTTTAGTTCTTTTACAGATAAGACGAAGGCAAAGTATTAGTAAGGGGTGGACCACTTGGATATTCCATGTACACAATGAGAAATAAAATATTCCAAAAAATATTCCAGATATTCCAAAAGTATTCCAGATATTCCACAAAATATTCCAGATATTCCAAAAGTATTCCAGATATTCCACAAAATATTCCAGATGTTCCATGTACACAAAAAATCTGAGTATGACCCCTTGTTGTTTTGCGGAGCGCGCTGACATGCGAAAACCAAACCCGTTTGTACACTCAAGCATTTACACATTTGGCGATGCCTCGTCGCCTCGGGCGGATATCTAATGTGCAGAAGCGAGCCCGATTCCGGTCAGCAGTTTGGTCACCTATGTCAGATTCGTAAATAAACGAAACGATGGAAAAAACAAAACAAAAATATATTTACCAGTAACTGCAGTTACTGAGTTACTGATGCAGTGGCATGCCATTATAGAGCAATTCCAGAAAAAAATGGTAAAAAATGTCCGTCAGTGACGGCATTTGTGAGCGACTAAGAGGTGCTACAGGTTGTTGAAGCACATGACTAGACTTGACGCGTCTTTGCAAGACGCTTCTAGGGACGTACTGCAACAATACGTAGCACCTCTCAGTCGCTCTCAAATGCCGTCACTGACGGACACCCCTGTCTGGAATTGCCCTATAGATGTTTCAAATCGCTCTGGTTGAGGATATCGAATACATCCCTTTCACCCATCAAATTGTACCGTTTTCCACGAAATTTGCGACTCAAGTTTTACTTGATACATTCGAGTCCATTTCCGCACACCGCCCCTGAACCGCTCCAAAGAGCTGCATGTACTCACCGAGCTCCTTGTGTTCCCCCATGGCCGTCCACCACCGCTCCAACTCCTTCCTGCTGGCTGAGGGGCTTCGCCGCTCTGTTGATCCACCTGCCATTCCTGCCAACACGATGACAACCAGCATGAGCCTGGGGCTGCACGCGTTGCATGCCCAGCCAGAAATGCAAACTCGAAACGACGTCGAATCGACGTCGAAGTCGACAATTCATCGATCTAGGTGACAAAATCCCATCGAATCGACGTCAATTTCGCGTCGATCAATGAAACCGACCAAATTTCGACGATGCATTTCTGGCTGGGATGCACTCGCTGCGCGGGGGCGCCGCACACGGCAAAGCGTAGCTGAACTCCACTTCAGGAGGGAAGTCGTCGGACGGCAGCTCATTAAAACGTAGACAATCGCACGACACGGTGAAAAACATTCGAAAGGGTTGCCGATGTATTTTCCACGAAACAATTTAAAAATCGTAAAGTTACGCACTTATATTTTAAAAGAATGAGTTTTTTAGGGTTGTTCTTTTCGTCAACAAAAATTTGGAGAAATACCAAGAATTGACAGTCGAAAATTTACGAACGCATGCGCTGATTTACAACATCGTTCGTAAATAGGAAATTGTAAAAAAATGCTTGGGAGAAATGTCGCGTCAATTCACCCCTGAAATATTTTTTACCCTATGACCTGTCGGCGCTCTCACCCGCACATACCGTCCACACTCAGTCACTGTTGACACTATATTCAAGGAGGCGTTCACTCGTTTCGCACACGACGCACACGCGGCGAGCACACGGTGTCGCGAGGTGGAGAGGCGCGGCCGCGGGCGGAGCGGAGGAGTGCTGACCGGTGTGCGGCACGTTGCGCGCGCGACTGCCGGCCCGGCCCCCACACCGGCCCGCCCGGCGCACCACCCGGCCGCGCTATCATCGCCACCACCACGCGGGCAGCGGCGAAGGTGAGCACGGGGGTGACGTCCGCGCGGGGATCGCCCGCGCGAGACAATCAAAACGGATGCTTTTCCGATTGGGTTAAAAATACGACAACTGATAATGTATATTAAAAATTCACTGGGGGCGTAAAACAATGTACCTGTAAGAACATCCAAGGAAGTGTGTGATTGCCATGTTACACACAAGGCAGTGCGTTCTTGCCAGAAGTGTGGATAAGAGTTCACGAAACGCAAGCGCTATTGTCACGCTAGGCGTGGTTTTCACGCTTCATGAGTTTCACACAGCCAATCAGGAACCGACTTTTCATCATGCCGGGTGTGAAAATCACGCCCGGCGTGAGAATCACGCTCGCGTTTAGGGAACCCTGTATCCACACTGACACTGCTAATACACATAAGAAAGTGTGTACTATAGATATGGTGGTACACAAGTGTGTACGTTACATTAGGTAAGGTATACTCACAGGGGCGTGTGCAATAATAACAATCACTACAAAACAAAGTGATAATCAGCACCTTTAAAAGGCGGCGAGAGTTTAGTGCATTTACAAATGCAGTGAAAGTGAAAATGCCAATGGCACCTTTGGCACCTTTTCAACTACATAAATGGCTTTGCAGAGGTAAACTGAAAGTTTCTTTGACACCCATGTAAAGGTGCGACCTAACACCTTAGCAATTTGCATTGACCTTCCACTGCCCCTTCCTTGTGTGCACTATGCTAATTACAAACTTCCTTAAGTTGTAAGTAAGTCACAAAGGAATTGCAGTGTAATAAGCATGTTACGTTACGTTTTGATTTTACTTTAGGAGGCTCTTTGTCTGTTCCGTATCGAAGATTATCGGCTGTTGTACCCTGGTGGCAGAGAGTGGGCAGTGGGTCCCAAGTGTTCGCAGCCTCCACCATTTTTTGCTCTCTTTCTCTAGTCCACAGCCCCCCCCCCCCTTTTCCTCTCCCACCATCTCTGCTTCTCTCTTTCTCTCACACCGGAGAAGGTGAGCTACACTGAGAAAAATGTTTAGATGCTGGCACTGAAGTTCATTTGATCGATCCGACCCGTTAGCAGTCTACGAAAGGTTTGGTTCCAAGCAACAAACATTTTTATGTAAATGTCCAAACGGTTTCTTCCTCGACACCAAACGTGTTTGAGTGGTGCATCCCAAAAATTTCAATGAGGCAACCGAACTCCCTCCAATCGTCACAACAGAGAGGGTTTGTTCGGGAATTTCTAC